TATCATTCTATGATGTTTCAAGTCCATAGCTTTCATACTTGAGGAGAAATGACCAGGACAAAAATAAAGTAAGAAAATCAACAAAGGGCAATAACTCAAAAATAAGAAATGCAGAGTATCAGTTCTTATGCACTGCACTTCTTTTTAATGAGATCTATCATCCTATGAAGTTTCAAGTCCATAACTTTTATACTTTCGCAGAAATGGCCTGGACAAAAATTAAGTATGAAAATTAACAAAGGGCCATAACTCAGAAATTAAGAAATGCAGAGTACCGATTCTTGTGCACTGCACTTCTTAATAATGAGATCTATCATCCTATGAAGTTTCAAGTCCATAGCTTTTATACTTAAGGAGAAATGGCCCGGACAAAATTAAAGTATGAAAATAAACAAAGGGCAATAACTCAAAAAATAAGAAATGCAGAGTACCAGTTCTTGTGCACTGCACTTCTTAATAATGAGACCTATCATCCTATGAAGTTTCAAGTCCATGGCTTTTATACATTAGGAGAAATGGCCCGGACAAAAATAAAGTATGAAAATTAACAAAGGGCAATAACTCAAAAATTAGGAAGTGCAGAGTACTGGTTCTTGTGCACTGCACTTCTTAATAATGAGATCTATCATCCTATGAAGTTTCAAGTCCATAGCTTTTTTAGTTAAAGAGAAATGGCACGGACAAAATTAAAGTATGAAAATTAACAAAGGGCAATAACTCAAAAAATAAGAACTGCAGAGTACCGGTCCTTGTGCACTGCACTTCGGGTTATTGAAAGAAGCATGCATACCAAGTTTGAAGTCAATCAGACTTATAGTGACTGAGTTATGCTCCGGACAAGCTTTAGGGGACGCCGACAACGACGCCGACAACGACGCCGACAACGACACAGACGCCGCCGCCGACACCGCCGACAAAAGTAACCCCTATATGTCACCTTTTGAAGGCGACACAAAAACTATGGCATGCATGTTTTCCAGTGCTTGTGTTTGGCATGTTACTTTTAATCTTGCTAGATGATTCAATTCCACATTTTTATAGTCTTAAGACTCCATTTTACTATTTCAATATGGTATATTGTAGCTAATAAACAGGTTTTTTGCAAACTGATTTCTGCATTGCTCTTCAGTTTTGCAAACCATATAGTCTACATTCTTAATAACCTGGCAAAATACAGCCCTAGTCTATAGGAACGAAACCTCTTCCTTGTCCCATTAATAACCTCAGTGCTTTGATTAAGAATGTAATCTTAAGCATTTTATCAAACTGCACTTAATCATATATCTTTTAACGTCATGTGGGTTTTGTATTTATAAAATATCTATCAGATAAAAAAAAACACAATTACGATATGTATTCATATGAAAATAAAGACTATTAAAATTCCAGTAAAATGTGATTTTTATTACATATCCGCGTTTTGGGAAATTATAGCATTCGCACAATAGTTATACCATTGGATGTGTAATTCATTTTGGAATAGAATGGTATCGTAATTCATGTTATTTGGAGTGTATTTAAGACCGTACGTGTGATTATCACAACACTACTCCCAACCGTGTGGTTATAACGCGGCGTGGTATTTAAGCAAATTGTACAAATAGTAGTGTTTTAAAAAAGTTTACCATTAAAACTATTTTTTTAAAGAAAAAAATTTATCATTTGGATAAATTTGATTAAATATAAAGTCCTTCGTGTGATTATTACGACACTACCCATAACCGTGTCTTTATTACGCCGCCGCATAATAATCGCGTAATTATCACACGGTCTTAACCAGAACAGAATCACTTTATAAATTGTTAAAACTATTGAACACAGGTAAAATTCAATTGTCATATTTGTTTTCATTTTCATGGTTAACATTGCTTGAAAAATCAGTAACCCCGGGACCCTTAATATATATTAATTTCCTTCGGTATTTATCGGAAATGTTCAATTTACATTTTTATCAATAACTGTTAAATCACCATCATAACAGTCAGTACTTAAAAAGCTTGACAGTGAAAAAAAGGTAAGCATGTGACTTAAAAGGAACTCTGGCTATGAGAAACAGAATGTTGAATGTTGTTCGTTAATATTATCGTGATTGCCCAATTTTTCGTATGTCTGTATCAGTTGTGACAGATTAGATAGATAATCTGTTTTATTAAATTGGCTTAAGTTCAACCACATCCACTTAAATGTATAAGCAAAATAAAACGCTTTAAAAATAGTATGCCAAATTTTTACGTTGGTTGTGTTGTTAAATTTGCATGGTGAATAAATTTATTACCCTTCTAAATTCAATTACTTCTCGTTAATCTAAATATAATTTACATTATGATAAAATGGGTTGTGCAAGTTCTTCAGTTATTACAATTTAATGAAAATATAGAAAAATAGTTGATATAGATACGTAAATCCAAGTAGCGTACTGGGTTAGAGAGCTATGATTATGAAGATCTCAGGCTATTAAAATGTTTTTTTGAATTCAAATCTACATTTTTTTTGATTATGTTTTTACTTTTAGTTTTTATATTTTTCATAGCGTGTCACGTTACTTTTCATGTTCTCTTTTATAATATTTTTGCACAATTTAAAGTTAAACTTATGACAGTTGAGCAAAATTGAATGCTTTTGATTTTGAACTGTCATTGAACAGTTTGAATCGTATTATCGATTTATTCAGTTTGATACTCTGATTTCTATTCGCCAAATATTTAACTATTTTGGCTCATTTGTACATATATTTTTCCGTTGCCCGTTTATCACCCTAATCACTACTGTGTTGTCTTATACTTAACCTGTTTCATGCGAATTTGTCTATATGTTCTCAAATAGCATTTTGTAAACAACTACAAACAAAAAAGAAATGTAAAATATGTATTTTCTTTTTCAAGATGTACCTGTGTGAAATATACAACCATGCGTGCTATTTTCACGGCTTTACTGTCGCAGGCGGTTTATACATTTTTCCGAGATCTTGTTTAACATCAAAATATTTTAAAAGTTTGCATAAACTTTCAGCTGAAGACACATGTGACACAAAATTGATTTCAGAGAAAATAGTATTATACTATACATAATTCAAATATGTAATATATGATAAAATTTGATCAATTTTAAGTTACTTCGGCGCGATATAATCAAACACGTGCACTATTATAATTTCTTAATATACAAATTATACATTTCGGAAATATACGTAGGTCTATCTGATTGCACTTATATTGATAACCATTATTTCATTATCTAATGTTATAACTTACCTTCAAACGATTCGACTTGTTAAGATAATGTTATTATAATTAAGGAAAAATGACACATCAATTATTGTCTGTTTACATCCATAACAAAACATAACAAACACGCAAAGCTATTATCAATATTTAAGATCTCAACTGTCTTGAACACAAAGAAAAAACACAATCAATATAACACATTAGAAAAGTAGAACAAAAACCTTTAAAAATTTATTTATCAGAGCATAATTATACATTTTAATAACGAATGTTGTCATATTAAAACTTAACGTGTGTTAGAAGATTAATGAATAATAAATTTTACACCATTAGATGCGGAATACATTTTGCAACAAAATGGTATATAATTTAACGATTTTTGGAGTATATTTAGGACGTGTGATTCTAACGGCACTACCCCTAACCGTGTGATAATTACGTCGCCGCGTTATAATCACACGCGTGGTAATATTACCACGCGTGTGATAATAACACGACACTGGAAAAGTACTTACAAAGTTTGAACAATTACCTAACAGTCCAACAGGTGACGGGGATTCGTGCGAATAATTAAGTGAGTCTGTCTTGGTCGATTTATGTTGAAGGGGCTTTAACCATAGTGTAGGAAACACATATCTTGTTTTATATCCATCACATCTTTTTCCAAAGAAAATACTTATTTTATTCGGAGGAAAATTTTCAACATGCGAATTACCAACTGCCTTTTAGCAGGGTTCTAGCCTGGAATTTCTGAAGGTGGGATTGCAATGAAGAATTCTAGGCTGCTGGCTCGGCTTTGAATATTCACAGCTTATAGGAAAGGAGAGAAAATGTAAGCAATATGAGCTTATTAAGTATCGGCCAGTTTTGAATTTAATACCTAACTTTTATTAAAGGAAAAAATGAAAAATTAAGAAAAGATTTTAATAGAGCTGTTGTTTTCAAAATCATAACAGAGGTTAAAAATCTTGGTTACGTGGCAGGAACTAAATGTGTAAGTCTTTACTCTAATTCTATAAACTTATTTTGTCAGACATGGAACACAAGAAAATATCACAAAAGCAACTAAGCACCAACAAATCACAGAACATGGTATTCACTTTAATGTATCAGTTATTCGACTGTCATAAAATTTGAATAGGAACATAAGATTAATATCTGTTGTCCCTGATTTGAAAAAGAAATAAGAAATGTTAAGCCATTTTCAATTCAAGGATATCGCCCTTAGTTTTCTATGCTCCGTTTAAAACATGAAATAAGCAGTGTTCATATCAGTGTAAGAAGTTGAGCCAATGAAAATATTTTATTTGAAACATTATTTTTCTTCATTTCCTAATAAAAATTTTATGTCTAAATAAATAACAATTGAAATCAGATCAATTTTTGAAAACACATAACGAATCATGTTGTAAATGTTAAAGCAAGTCCCCAGGTGGACGAAGGGAGACAGGGTGATTGAGTTTGAGATTACATTTATCTTGTTATATATCCGTTATATTCATTTTGGAAACGAACTTTCTGTTTACAGGGTAAAACATGCTTACTTCGAATTACCAAGTACCTTCTAGTAGGTAGTTGGGGTTTCACGCGAATGACCAACTAGAACCCCTGGTCGCCAAAGGGAGACGGGGTGATACCATTTGGCAGAATTCATATATTGTTATATATATGTTATTTTTATCTCCTGGTAGATATAGGGAGATAGGGTTTTTGCATGTTTGAGAACATATCAATTTTGTATTATATCCGTAAAATTTATTCGGGAAAATATTTCAGTTTCGTTTAAAGAACACGCAAAGTACCTTCTGTTTGATAGCTTGGGATTCGCGAGAATAACAGACTGTGTACCCTGCACAGAGACAGGGTGTTTCTATGTTGGAGAACACATCTTACATGGTATATTTTCTTTATATCTATCCCGGCTGAAAAGCCTTCAGTTTCAGTGTAAAACCTGCTCAGTTCGAAAACCAACTACCTTCTGGTAGGCAGTTGGCGATTCACGCGACTAACCAACTGAGTCCCCTAATCGATTTATGATGAAGGTGATGTAACCATAAGTCTCGTTATATAATCGAAATATTTGGTTCAAAAATTATTTATTCTTTTCAGGCGAATACATGCAATTTCCGAATTACCAACATTCTTCTAGTAGGTAATTTGGGATTCACGAGAAAAGAATAACTTACTGAGTCCCCTGGTCGACGTAGGGGACGGGAAGATTCCATCTGGTAGAATAAATGTATCTTGTCATATATCTGTTACTTATTTCTGGAAAAAAAACTGTTTTTAGAGAAATACATGTTACGTTCCAATTTCCAACTTTCTTCTGGTTTGAAGTTGGTGATTCACACGAATAACAAACTGTGTGCTTTGTTTGATGAAGGATGAGGGGTGTACAATATGATAGAAAACACATATCTATCTTGTTACATAACCGTTAAATTTGTTTAACAACAATACTTTCTGTTTCCAGATTATCCGAATAACTAACTACCGTCCAGTAGGTAGTTGGGTACTCGCACGAATAACCAACTGCGTCCTCTGGTGCACATAGGGAGGCCAGGTGTTGCGATGTTTCTTGCTATATATCTGTTATATCTATTCCAGAATTTTACTTTTTGTGTTGAGGAAAACATTCAAAAGTTTGGATATCAAACAACCAACCAACTACGTACCAAATTGGCGTTCATAAAATGGAAAATTGCCAATCCATTAAAACAAAAAAAAAGCAAGTAAAGGGCTAAATCCCTTAGAAGATGACTATTGATTTATTATTACTCGTTATTGTAGATGAAGAAAAGCCAGAGATAAGGTGTCCTCGGAACATAACTATCCCTGAAACTAGGAGTGCATATTGGTGGCTGACATCTCGTGATAATGTTGCCGTACATAAAAAGTCAGTCTTCGGCGGAAAGTCTCCAGTGTCCTTTCCTGTAGGCAAACATATAATTGTCTCGGAAGTCTGGGACATAGACGGGAACTACGCCAGATGTCAGTTTTACGTCACTGTTTTACAAGGTAAAATATACTTATATATATATATAATATCTGTCGCTGCTGTAAGTTCGATACCCGACAAAGGTGCGTTTGCTTCTATCATTGAATTTCGAGGAAGCTACCCAGCTTTGTTTCAACTTTGTGCCCGAAATAATGCACGGAAAGGCAGTTGTGGTATTCCACTACTGTAGCTGAAAAATTGCAATTATACTAACTGTCACAGAAAAAGTCAGCGTGACTAAAAACCCAATAATTAAGACAAACCGTCGTAGCAATACGTTATTTTTTTTCGAGCTGTCCATAATTTATTACAAGTGTTTTTACTATACAAAAGAAAAACTGTGTAAAAATATATATATATTTAGGAGGTAAAGATGTACAAGCTTGCCGGGTTAAAGGAATGGGGTTGTGAATATATAAATCACTTGCCCATATCAAGGCATTTTGTAATACACACAACTGGAGTCATAAGAAATACGACTTATCAATGACAGTCAACAGCCATTTGCTTATTTCACTTCAAAAAATATATACATGCCAGAAAGCAACATTATATGCTACTATAACTGAAATTTTCCTTCACAAATTGCTTCACTTTATGAAAGGTTTCTGTCGTTATTACTAGTTTCTATACCCTCACAAACGAAGTTAAGGAAGGGGTATATAGCACTCAGTGCACTAACCATAGTTTGAAATGAGGTATTGTAATCAAACTTTGTATATAGCATCCTTATGTTAAATCCCCGGTTGAAATAGCATTTGGACACCCTTGGGTAAAGGTCGCCTTCACTTAAAACAGAAAAATTGTTTCCGGACAATAACTTATTAGGAATGAGATACAGTAAACATACTGTGTGTATGAGCAAGCTTTTATGAAGACCTTGGTTGGTAATGCATTTGGACTCTCTCGGGTCAAGGTTAAGGTTACTTAAAATAGGAAAATGGTTTCTGGACAATAACTAGAGTTAGGAATGATATATTGTAATCAAACATGATGGATAGCAAGCTTATATAAAGACCCCTGTAAGTATTGCATTTGGAGCCCCTTGTGTCAAGGTAAAATATGATAAACAAGATCAACAAGGAAAGGCGGCGTCCAATGAACGCAACCCCCAAAGGTCACTGTTACTAAAAATCGAAAATGGTTTCCGGACAATTACTAAGGAATAAGATATTAAAATGAAATTTGGTATATAGCAAGGTTATATGAAGAAGACCCGGGTTGGAATATAATTTTAAGCCCAATGGTGTAAGGTAAAGGTTACCGCTAAAAATACGAAAATGGTTTCCGGACATGAACTAAAGTAGGAATGAGATATAGTAATCAAACTTGGTGTATGAATATCCTATTTCGGATTGCAATTTTAAATAATTCTTTGAACACAGGTTGAGTTCAAATTTTTTTCAGACCACCTATTTTTCAAAAAGTCAAAGTTGCTGGTTGGGATATTAACAACCTTCAGTGATAAGTCTAGTTTGTAATTTGATGATAAAAAATCGATTTAAATGATTTTTGGCCGGGTTGCACTGGTGCAAACCTGGGTTGTAAAATGGCGAATGTCGGGCGGCAGCCGGGCAGTCAGGGAAAAACTTTTACAGATTTCTCAACAACTACTTATTGCATACCATTGATATTTGGTAAACAGAATCAACACACAGTATCATACCAATTTCTGGTTTGTCGCGCATCCACTGTTAACTAACTTGGTTCAATTTCCGACATTAATGGTAATAAGTAGAACATTTTCTAAACTCTTTTATCAGCAACTACTTCTCACAGCCTCTTGGTAATAAATATACAACATTAACACCTGGTCCAATACCGTGAGATTGATTTCAGGTCTGTCACTCATCCTTTTCCTGTTTACAGACTTAGTTAAATTTTCGACATAAGTGGTCAATATAAGAAAATTTTCGTAAGAGATTTCTCAACAACTAGTTTTCCCAATCTCTCGATATTTAGTATACGGAATCAACACAAGGTCCCATACCATGGGATTTTATTTCAAGTCTGTCGCTCATAGAATGTCGCTCATCGTCTTCCTGTTTACCGACTAAGTAAAAGTTTCAATATTAATGGTGAATGGTAACCGCTGTACCATGCCGTTGGCTTTGATTTCAGGCTTTTCTCTCATCCTATTCCTTTTTACAGAATAAGTTAACTTTTCGACATTAATGATATATGGTAGGAAGTTTTCGTAACAGTTTTTTCAGCAACTTCATATCAAAGCCTCTTGATATTTGGAATACAGCATCAATATTTGGTCCCATATTGTAGTACAAGATTTCATGTCTGTCGTTTATCCACTCCGGTTTACCGACTTAGTGAATTTTTCATAACATCATGGCCTCATGGTATTCGGTCGGCCATTTCTTTCTTTGACTAATTTCTAAATATATCATTTTTTATTTGGATTTGTTTTTGTTTCAGTGGAATGTACTTTGGAATGTCAAAATGGAGGAAGTTGTTATCGTAAGGGGAAACATCAGTCATGTAGATGTACACCAGATTATATTGGCCCCTACTGCGAACATAAATGTAACAATTTCTTTTTCTTACCTTATATCTACTTGTATATTCCCTTCTTGAAAATTTGCTGCAACGTTCTTTGGTATTTCTTGCATACAATCATTGATGTATTTTTGTTGTACACGGATGTGTCACATTATAAGCCCGAATAACAAACATTTTCAATTTGATTTGATTTTCAATTATCATTTCAATTTAAAATTTTGAATTCTATTTGTGAGGGGATGTGGTATGTTCATGGACGGTGCAATAAACCCATAAACGGGCGGGATAATATCGATTGTTGTAAATACGACCACATATCGTTAAATAGTTTCATTTAATTATCATAAGTGGCACATTAAAGTACATAACATGCAACTCGTATTTCACCCGGTTGCAATCTTCCATGTGACACCTTCAATTTAAAAAGGGGCATTCATTCTGTTTTTCTAGTTGAGAAATTGATCCTTTGTCCTTTATTTGTCCCTTTTTAAATTAGGAAATCTCTTAAAATCATTCATATATATTTTGAAAAATGGGCTTGGACAATTGTGTTATAGAGGTGTAATCAAGCTAAAATTCTGTTTTGAATTTGTACGTGTCCTTTTATAGCTAACCAGAACTGAAGGTTCAGGGTGAGCTATTAGTATCATAGGTGGATACTCTGGCGTGCGTCGTCCGTCGTCATGCGTCAACAATCGTGTTCTTCTCTGAAACTGCTCGGCAGATACCAAAAATTTGATATCTAGCATCCTTGTGACAGTCACATTAAAATTTGCTCATGTCATTTCAATTCGCTCCTTTGTGGGGTCAACAGAGCTGAAAATAGAAAAAACCTTTAAACATCTTCTTCTACAGAACTAAGAGATGGATGATCACCAAACTTTGTCTGTAGTATTCTTGGGTAGTCTTTTATCAAGTTTCCTCATATTAACTTGATTGGCTCCTTTTAGGGTCTCTAGAGCTGAAAATAGGAAAACCTTTAGTCATCCTCTTCTACAGAACTAAAAGATGGTTGATCATCAGACTTTGTCTGTAGTATTCTTGGAAATTCTTTTATGAAGTTTACTCATATTAATTTGATTGGCCCCTTGAAGGGACCGCTAAAGCTACAAATAGAAATACCTTAAATATCTGCTTCTACAGCACTTATTGGTGGATGATCACCAAATTTTGTCTGTAGCATTCTTTGGTAGTGTTTATCAAGTGTGCTCATATAAATTGGATTTGCCCCTTTTAGGGACTGCTTAAAACAAGAATACCTTAAAACGTCTGCTTCTACAGAGCTAATTGACGGATGATCACCAAATTTTGTTTGTAGCATTCTTTAGTTATCAAATTTGCTCATATTTATTTGATTAGCAACTTGAAGGGTCCGCTAAAGCTAAAAGTAGAAAAAACCTTTGAACATCATTTCTTTCTGAAATAATTGATGAAATTCACCAAATTTTGTCTGTAACATTCATATGTAGTATTTTTTTCAAGTTTGCTCATATTGATATGAATGGCCACTATAAGGAGCAGATTTAGCTAAAATGCCCGGGCCATGGCATTTCATCAAATTATAGTTTTATAATGAAAGGTAAATAACTCATGTTTGAATGTTTCTTTACATAAGTACATGCATACATAAACTCTCCGATTTCAGCGGGAGACACCCTCTTTCTCCTGTCAAATTATTAGATATTTTTTCTTAAAATAAGGGATGTTTTCAAAAAAATAAAGAAATCCTTTTCATTTCAAAATGTCCTACTATGTCTATTGTCAATTAAAAAATCTTCTTCATTTTGAAGTAAATTCTCCCTCCTGAACATGAAAAAAGTTCACATGTATGGTCATGTTTTACATAAGAATGTCTTAATGTCATGACCTGTTTCCCAGATCTTGAAGAAATGATTTGAGGTCATGTTTTTTGTAACTTTCTCTTTGCGCCCTTGTATTTGGACAGGGCATTGCATCATTCAATTTTTCTTTCTGCAGGTTCATTTATTAGGTCAATCTATAGAATTTTCCCTAGGAAATGAAATAAGGCCTAAAGAAGTATGACATTTGTTTTCCGTACCTAACTTACTTGGAAAAGCACATTTCAATAAATATTGGGACACACTGTTGAAACTGATGTTTTATGTGCATGAGATATTGTCACTGAGTAACAGATAGGTGATTGTTTTTCACTGAGACTAATTTACAGTATCTGTTGTATTGTATGAGAATATAATAATATTTCCAAATTCAAAATTTCTCCATTTTCGTGTTAAATGTTGACTTCTGCTTTAGCCGGCGCTAGGGGCGTTCACGGTAACTTTCACTTTCCAGTACCGTCCATGAACAGGCTCAATCAAAACGAGCCTGCAACATTTTCAATTTTGTTGTATTGGACTTTCTTTAGGGATTCTGTTTTGAAAAAAATTTTATTTAATCACTGAAAAACAATTGTTATTGGTGAGCGATTCAGGGCGATCATGGCCCTCTTGTCTTCAGATACTCACCAAAACACGTGTCCCGTGCCTAAACCATTCAACTTACCATGTTATTTGAGATGCAACAGTAATGATGACTGTTCGGGAAACAGTGTCTGTTGCAGAGACGGTTGTAGTACTGTATGCCAGCAACCTAGGACAGTTTATTGTAAATTAGAAGGCCAGCAGTACCGTGTGAATGACACTTACAGTCCGGAGCCTTGCACTGTATGTTGACATTGTACTTTATTTTAAAAACATAGATTACAGTCATATTTCATTTTCATTTTTCTGTTTGTATTGGTAATGGTCGTAAGCTTTAAGTTTTGCCGCGCATGGCATTTGTTTCTACGATCCAGCTAGCTGATGCAATATCGATGGTTCTAATCAGGTGCAGTTCGAGAAATAATGCACGAATGGGCACCTTCACAAGTAAAGCTGGAAAGCTGCCATAAGATCTTAACTGTGTTGGTGCGACACTCCCCCACCCCAAATAAAGATCATAAGTAATGCCCTTCTCAGTAAAGATGAAATGTTACCATATAGCCATTTAAGCTGAAACCTGGGTCAAAACAAGAAGTCAAAACAAGAAAAAAATATATATCATTCGAAGTTACTGCATTGTAGACATGTGTATGTCTCCAATCCGGGAAGATGGAGTGCGTTTCAAAGATGTGTGCAATGCCAAAGTGCGCTAGGGGAAGACAACCAGTATCTAGACCCGACCAGTGCTGCCTCGTGTGTCCAGGTATAAAGTATTACATGAATTCTTCCATTTGTTCTTGCATAATTTAAAGTTGCAAGATGTTTTTTGAAAAAAAGCATATGTCAGAATTGTTACTTGTTATTGCTTACATTTATGCAATCAGTACAATTAAAGCAAACGCTTGTCTAAGGTTTCGATCGTTTATCTTCATCAGAATCCAACATATTTTAGATTTGTAATTATTGACATACTCACTTGCAAATCATGAATGTGTCAGCATCTATATTAAAAGATATATTTAAAATAATACCAGATATATTCCTAAGCTCAGTGCCGTCAGATTAGCCAAACTATGTCAAGAAAATCAAACTTGAAAAAATGTTCTAAAATTTGAAGAAAAGTAACAAGTAATGTGTGTGTGATGAAAGACTGACTTTGCATTATTTATCACCATATTTCTACTGCATGAATAAGGCAGAAAGAGTAATATTGTGTCTTTTGACATGTTTTTAGCAATTTTCTTGAATGGTAATTGCCGTTCGCAAAGTGTAAATTACTTTCGTTGTTCACTTTACAATATTATACTTTTAAATACATTTTCAACCTTTTTCATGAAAATTTTTAATGAATCTCGATGCATGCTGCTAACATTTGTATATTCGATAAACTTTCATATAACATTTCCGAAAATATTTCATGTTGTTCCCGCTTACTGCTTTTGAATTCGGGCATCGCTGATTGAAAGCTCCCAAATATGAGCTTGTATATTGTGAATTATGTCCAAATACCATGCGACAGACCACAAGTGGGCATCCTGATCTGGCTTGTCCAGATGCCCTGTAATAGACCCGATGGACACTTGATCTGTAAAGTCAAGTCCAGATGCCCTGCGATAGTCCAAAGATGGGCATCGTGATCCTTCCTTTATTTGAAAGCCGTCATATGACACAATAAATCTATGTGAAATCATGAATAAGCCTTCTAAAAGTGTTTTTTTTTGCTGGGTGAAAAGGCGAGTTTCTTGTGTTCAAGTGTCTTGTCCGGTATATACCGAATACTGTATTTAGCGTTCAGCTTCAACATTTTAATCAGTCATTTTAATTTATCAGAGTATTGGTTCACAGTGTTAGATACTGATTTAATCATCACGTATTCTAGCTATTGCAGAGGAACCAAAGCCCCGAATTTACTGCCCAACACACGTCGTCCATGTAAATACCTCCTACTATACTAACATGGAATTGTTAGATGACACCAAAACATCTGTAGCTGCATTCAATCATGTCGGTGTAAATCTGCAGGTAAATATGTAATTGTATCCTTTAACCTGTCCAAATCGTAAAAAGTTAGCCTTTTCCACCAGTATGAAGCAAGACCAGTATGAAGCAAGACCAGCCCTAACGTCCGTGCAGTATTTGCAGGCTCTTTTACTATCGACAGCTCATTTTTGTTACTTTAGGTAGTTCCTTTTGTTATATTGCTGTTGAAATCGCTTGACCTTTAAATGTTATGTTCCATAAGGAGGATATTCATTTTCACAATTTTTGTAGCTTAACGGTCACAATCCGATGCTATCTTTTTGACTTACAAAAGGTTGTTTGGTCTATATTTATAAGTTTAAGCAAGTTAATTGTCACAGGACTGGAAATCAAAACTGTCGTATCCTTCAAAATGTAAACAAACGCCCCCATCTTTGAACGACAAAGGTATCATTTGTTTATAACTTTTTTTGTTGGAAATGACTGTATATATGTATTAACACGCTCAACTAATGTCCTCTTCGTTCAGTATATGTTGCTTGTACAACTTTTGTAAAACAAAAGTTCTAGCGAACTTGCAACACGAAGCGTGCCGGAATTAATATAAAAAGGTAAAGCCTCAAAGCGAGCTCGATGTACTTTTAACGTTAAATAGTATGAAATAATCGCTCAATTTTATTTTAAATTCATTCGGTATTTTATACACTACTTCCATTTATTCCATTTATTCTGGTTCCCTCCCATTAAATGAATAAAATTAATGTATTTTATCATTTTTGCTACGTGAATTCTACCTTAATTTACAGGAAGAAGGAAGGAATCGGCTCGAATGTTGTTTCAATGTTTATAAACTAATGCAGTGACGAGTGTGTGTCACGTCACACGTACTGTGTTAAATATGGCCCCGCCCCTTTTTTCTGTTGTTTATTTTTTCTTTTGGAAATAGATATCAATTCTGAGTGCATTGTTGTCGAAAAATGCATGGTTTGAGTTCAAGTGCGTAGTATCAAATGCGTAATGATATAATCACGAAGGCCCATAGGCCTGAGTGATTAATTGCAAAGCATTTGAACGAAAAACGTGCATTATTACGCACAAAATATTAATTTCTATTTCCATTCTAACACGCCAAGAAATAATATAATTATTATTATCATGTTAATGTTGGGCTTTATGTTTGGATGGTTAAACTTGTTTTTGCCTCAGAGTTTCCAATAGAAACGTTCTTTAAAGGCTGTTCCAGTGGTATGAAAAAACTGTCGTTAAATCTTACGTGATTTTGAAAACGTTGATAAAACTTTGTTTGTTTATTTCATTTCACTCTATAATTTTTCAAGCGAAATAAAGTTTATTAAAAGTGAAACAAATGTAAAAGATAACACGTTTGCGACATTAAAATAGCGTACTGGATTTGATTGTTTTGCACGTGCTGTTTGGCGCTACATTGTGACGTCACGTAAACAATACTTTAAACGTCTGTACAGTGTTAACGACTAAATAAAAGATATTGGTGTTGGAATCATTTTCTTAGTTAGACCATTTTCTTTCATTCTAGATAAATTTCACCTCAAAATTCGATTAAAAATTGTTTTAATTTATCAGATTTTTTTCAAACAAAATGGCGCCCTCAATGTGAAAATACACAGGGAAATAATAAGAACGGCGAGTGCATTCTCGGGCCTTCTTTGTTTATATAGAAATATTTCCGATAGTGTATGTTTTGTTTGTTGAAAAAAGAGTAAGTAAATGTACATTTTATGAAATCAAAACTGTCGTATCCTTCAAAATGTAAACAAACGCCCCCATCTTTGAACGACAAAGGTATCATTTGTTTATAACTTTTTTTGTTGGAAATGACTGTATATATGTATTAACACGCTCAACTAATGTCCGCTTCGTTCAGTATATGTTGCTTGTACAACTATTTTGTAAAACAAAAGTTCTAGCGAACTTGCAACACGAAGCGTGCCGGAATTAATATAAAAAGGTAAAGCCTCAAAGCGAGCTCGATGTACTTTTAACGTTAAATAGTATGAAATAATCGCTCAATTTTATTTTAAATTCATTCGGTATTTTATACACTACTTCCATTTATTCCATTTATTCTGGTTCCCTCCCATTAAATGAATAAAATTAATGTATTTTATCATTTTTGCTACGTGAATTCTACCTTAATTTACAGGAAGAAGGAAGGAATCGGCTCGAATGTTGTTTCAATGTTTATAAACTAATGCAGTGACGAGTGTGTGTCACGTCACACGTACTGTGTTAAATATGGCCCCGCCCCTTTTTTCTGTTGTTTATTTTTTCTTTTGGAAATAGATATCAATTCTGAAGGCATTGTTGTCGAAAAATGCATGGTTTGAGTTCAAGTGCGTAGTATCAAATGCGTAATGATATAATCACGAAGGCCCATAGGCCTGAGTGATTAATTGCAAAGCATTTGAACGAAAAACGTGCATTATTACGCACAAAATATTAATTTCTATTTCCATTCTAACACGCCAAGAAATAATATAATTATTATTATCATGTTAATGTTGGGCTTTATGTTTGGATGGTTAAACTTGTTTTTGCCTCAGAGTTTCCAATAGAAACGTTCTTTAAAGGCTGTTCCAGTGGTATGAAAAAACTGTCGTTAAATCTTACGTGATTTTGAAAACGTTGATAAAACTTTGTTTGTTTATTTCATTTCACTCTATAATTTTTCAAGCGAAATAAAGTTTATTAAAAGTGAAACAAATGTAAAAGATAACACGTTTGCGACATTAAAATAGCGTACTGGATTTGATTGTTTTGCACGTGCTGTTTGGCGCTACATTGTGACGTCACGTAAACAATACTTTAAACGTCTGTACAGTGTTAACGACTAAATAAAAGATATTGGTGTTGGAATCATTTTCTTAGTTAGACCATTTTCTTTCATTCTAGATAAATTTCACCTCAAAATTCGATTAAAAATTGTTTTAATTTATCAGATTTTTTTCAAACAAAATGGCGCCCTCAATGTGAAAATACACAGGGAAATAATAAGAACGGCGAGTGCATTCTCGGGCCTTCTTTGTTTATATAGAAATATTTCCGATAGTGTATGTTTTGTTTGTTGAAAAAAGAGTAAGTAAATGTACATTTTATGAAATACGGCAACACCTATGTACGAGAAAAGTCGGTTTAAATAGTCGTTCAATTTTCACTTTACATTTTCCGTTTTAAAACTGTCATTCGATATTTTATACACAGCTTCCGTTACTCTGGTTCCCTGTCCAATTATTGTTCTCATAGAAGTGCGCGGGTGACCAGTCTACACATCCCTTTTTCAGTCAGAATTCCCCAGTTTTTATCGTTATCTTGTAATTCGAAAAGTTGCGATGTGTCCAATTCGGTACTTCGCACGAAAGTTTTCAAAACCATCACTTAGCAGGTACTTGCGTTACCGTAAAGCTCGCTATTATGAAGTTTTGTTGATACGACGCAGTTCATATTGCTTTATCCATCGTGTTTTCCTTTAAATCAATTATATACTCATTTTAGAGTTTACCATAAAATAAAAAATATAATTTTGAACCATTTACTAAAATTTCATTAAAAAGAGATGTTTATTTTCCAAGAAAATAATAATTTGTACTATATGATACGACGCAGTTGAAAATATAATATGATACGTCGCAGATGTATTTTTTGGCAGTCTTTTCAACATAGATACTTTTGGCAATATATGTCTATTTTACCGGATTATTACTTGCGCTTAATAAAATATTTCCAGATCATTCGTGGTTTTAAGCAATGGTCTGATGCTTTTGATTATTTAGAATGCTTTGTACCAATAAAATATAACATTTAATTGAAAGTTACATTGCGGATGCTCCTTTTCAGTTAAACATAAACATGTAACGTTTTAATATCATGATATCTTAAATCATTTCTTTCATTTTCCTGTATCTTCAATATCATCCATATTGTTTGCAAAAATAAAGAAGTCTATTAATTTGAACACACACACACACACACACACACACACAGATTTATGCTCATAGCAAACTGTGGCTCTGCATGTTCTAGGTAATGACTGCTATTTTGTGATTTTATTTCAATCTTTCACTCTACTGAAATATGCACAGAGGTGCACCTGAGGTCCTTACCCCCAGGTAAGGACCTCAGGTGCACCTTTGTGCATTATTTCAGTTAAAATGTTGCACCTGCAGTAAACCATTGGCAATTTAAAACTAGCTTGATAGGTTTTTGCGCACGTGAGAATCAAAATTTTCCTTTTTGGTTTTTTAAAATTTAAACAGCAGTTCCAGTGAAATTTGAAGTCAGAAAACAGGGAACAGCTGGGCCCCTTTCGGATGGACACCCCCCTTCCGAGGTTTTCAAAAAAATTTTCCCAACCCATTGCTTAAAAAATGTCAGCTGTACAAATAACCATTTTTTTCTAATTTTTTCTGGCATAAAACTTTTAAAAAATTCCCAAATATTTTAAATGTTTTATAGAAAAAAAGGGAAAATTTTAAATTTTCCCTTTACTCTTAAGAGATTTGGGAAAAAAAAGGTTGTCATTTGGGGGAAAAAAAGCAGAAAGGGTTTTTCAAGGGTTAACGGGGGTTTTATCCTCTTTGAAGTCATTTTTCTGGCAAAAAAAGTTTTATGTGTCAGTCAATTCATTATCAAGTCACTCTTAAGTATGAATTACAGTAAGATGCCATGTCTTTAGTCTTAGTGAAATTCAATGTGATAATCTGATCTAAATTTTCTCATCCGGCTTTGATTCTATATAGGGAAAATTTCTTCAATACTATTGAAACATCATGCTGCGCATATATCTGTATCAAATTTATCGATACCTTTGCAAAACGGCCACCTGCGTTACAAAATAATTTGTAGTTTTATCATTTGTAACTCTTTTGAAAATTTAAAGTTGTTTAATAAAGAAGAATGATACTATAGTGCAAATATCTAGTTAATTGCCAGAAAATACATTCCGTAGACCTGTTTTTATTGTCGATAAAGAAATGCCAGCGCCGCACATAAAATGACTGAAAGAAACGCATACCTTACTTGCAGATTAACCATTTATAATATAATTTTAAAAAAAAATGTTCAGAATACATGATCAGTTTTTCTAGTCATGTATTAAAAGAGGAATAATACTTTATTTCAAATACCAATTTAAGTTTCAAATAATAAAGCTCATCTGTTCTCATCGATTATTAAGATCAATACAATAAAATTGGCGCATAAAAGACATATTAAGTAATTACGGCATTGTCGCAAATTGTTGTTAATTATTAGTGACAACAGAACCTTGCAATTTGCGCATATGAAAAATGTAACCATTAGTTACGAAAGTAGCATTAGTTTTGAACTCAAAGGAACATTTTTATACATGTAAGCATGCTTAGGCAACACTAGAACACCATATGGGTGTTAGATCACTTGTTTCAATGTATTTGATACACTTTTTTTGACTTTGTAGATCATTAAATGCGACCTAAAAGATGAAGCCTTACTAGAATTTTTATTTCAATTTCCATTTTCGTCGGACCAATGGTTGATCTCTGCTCTCGACTTTAGTTGTAAACAAGGTCACTTGTGCGGATTCATAATGATAACAATTTGCAGACAACAAATGTTGTTGGATGTAACTACTTATCTTTACGCATGATTTAATGGCTGAACCAAGCCTGCTATGAAAATACAACTGCGTCGTATCATATTTTATTTAAAACTGCGTCGTATCATTTTGTACAAATTTTAATATTTTCTTGGAAGACAAACATTTCTTTTTAATGACCTTTTAGTAAATGATGCAAAATTGTGTGTTGAAAGTTATGGTGAACTCTAAAACGAGATTAAGTTGAAGGAAAAAGATGGATAAAGCAATATTAAATGCGTCGTTTTCACAAAACTTCATAAACATTTTGCTTCGCTTCGAGTTGCAAGTTCGCTATAACTTTAATTATACATAGTTGTGCCAGCTACATGTACCGAACGAAGCGGAACATAGTTGAGCGTGTTGATACATATATTTGGTTGTCAGTCATTTCCAAAAAAAGAGTTATAAACAAAAGCATACCGTTTTCGTTCCAAGATGGCGGCGTTTGTTTACATTTTGTAGAATGTGTGTCATTGTATTAGATTTTACATAACAGTGGTTTTCAAATATTGTATATTAAGTAGATATCTATGCGTCACAAAACGTTTGTAAATGTCAAAAACTGTTTTTTTGCGAGCAAAACTTTTTCCGAAAAAATATGATTTCTCAATTAAATGTTGTTTTTTGAGCTTTCATGTATTAAACAGGTACATGTTAAAAATATGCCGTTATTGTAATCGTTATTTTCAGTTGTTTAATACCTTTATTATTTACATGATTGTTTGAAATATACATTTCTAGTTTGATAAAATACCTGATCACACATTTCTTTTATATCATGAAACATTCTTTTGTTATATGAATTACCTTTTGTGTTATTATGTTATTAACACATATATTGTTTCATTTAAGCCTTCGTGATTTATTAAGACCGAACTTAAATAAACAATACGAAAACATAACCGTACCTGAACACTCAATCTTATTCATAAAGGATGTTAGATGAAAACGTGTTTTCTGCATTGATAGAAGAAAGTTTGCCTAAAAAGAAACAGTATTTTCGTAATCAAATATTTGCAAATAATTTCAATTCGCAAAAATAGCAAATATAATAAACCACTTATACAGTACATTGTTAAACATTCACCCTGCTGAATTGTCTTAAAGGTACTTGTCAAGCATTCATATCTGAATTTTTAAAACATTTAACACATTTCATTTCTTCACAATTGAAATAATCATTTTGGAAAAAATGTCTGAATCAATAATCTGAAATTTCGCTTAGAAGTTATTTGTTTATTTGTTTATCAACTTGTACATGTACATTAAGATCGAATAAAGAATAGTCTTGTCATGTAAGAAAACCAACCTCAGTGTGTCCCTTTATGGGTAAATAGAAAACGTTTTAGGTTAACCTTTATAATGCGTTATGTTGCAGGTAAATTACAGTCCACCTATTGTTCACCATTGTGAATGTGACAAGCCACGTGACCACGTGACAACAGTGGAAGCATACGCCTCAGATCAATTTGGCAACGTTGCTACATGCTCGTTCCAAGTTGTTGTTAGAGGTAAAATATTTGTAGATTTCACATAACACTATCGAAGTATTGAAATTAGAATAAATGAATATAGGAAATGTGCGGTATAGATGGATACCGAAAATAAGCTATTTTCGCGAAAATAAGATCGCGGCTACGAAAATAAGATTTATTTTTGATATAGTGCATTTATCCGTTTAATTTAGTAGTTTATTTTAACATTTATGCATTCTTTGAATGATTTTACAACAAATTAACATTTCAAAACCAAAAAAATATCGTAAAAAGTGAAGTTTGAGCCGAAAATGCATCGTACGAAAATATCTCAAATCGCCGTGTAAAGCGAAAATAAGATTTATTGTTGATATTATGTATTAAAACTTGTATTTGTTGTTACTGATTGATTTGTATGAATAAAATAATAAAGATTGAAATGTTTTGTAGTGAAATATTAGACGTATGTGCAGTAAATTTGGTAAATATCCCAAATGGTAGATAATGATCGCACCTTACGAAAATAACCCAAGATGGCGACTACGAAAATAAGGTGGACATTGTCCATAAATTATATTAAGATGGTATATAGATTACAACTGTATTGTAATTTATTAATATGTTAAATGTTTTATTGAATATGTATGGTTAAACGAATAAAATAATAGATCTACTAATATAACCAATAACAACGAATATTACAAGATCTATCACGGATTTATATTACATCATAAATCCGTGGATCTATATAGTAAGAACATGTACGGAAATAAAATTTAAAAAGGTATTGTACGAAAGCTGTATTAAGATAATGTACATACTAAAATAAGGTACAATGAATATACGAAAATAAGACCCTTTAGAAAGTGATACCTGTATCAAAATACAACAGATACGAAAATAAGATCAAAATGAAAATTATTATTTTATTAAGAAAATACTTGATCTTTTAACTAACAGTTATTTATCTTGTATGAATTGATCATTGTACGAAAAGAAGATGTTATTGAGAGTATCATGATATATACGAAAATAAGATTTGTACTATTTAATAACTGTGCGAAAATAAGATCTTTATGAACCCGATATATGAACGCATTTTTACGAATATAAGACTGAGTGATAACCAAAATATTATTTTGTGATATGAATGAAAATAAGTGTAATATGAAAATAATATCTCTATTAAGTAAATTGTATTGATCGATTAGGTTATGCACGGACATTATCTGGGAAAATGATGCATCGTATGACACGTGCACATGATTGTCGGTAGCAATCAATGCGCTAATACGATGATTAGATAATTGGATTATCGCGCTTATGGTAATTGACACCGATTAAAGGCTCATCATTAAAGGTGTATATTAGGATGATTTATCACAAACATCAAACAATAGTTATATTAAGGATCGACTTAATAACGATAATTTTAAATGTTTAAAGGTTTAAAATTAACAGTTGTTTTTTTCCGACAAAAACTAAAAAATAATTAAAAGAGAAAATTTCGTTTTGCCGACAGAAGCCTCGTGTATAAATAGTTTGCAAAAATGCACGTTCCTCATTAATCATTTGAAAGTCTTAATTGTGTCAGGATTTCGTGTGTTTATTCTTTATGCTCTTGGATTTTATTTAAATTCGCAAGGTATAAAGTTCTCTATATTGTTTTCTGGAAAACAATAAAATTCGAATTTACATAACAAAGAAATTTCAAGTTTCATTTGGGGTTAAATCCCCTGTTATTGGGATTAAGGGATTGGTTTTTTTTTCTTCAAAATTTGAGAACTTTATCCCGTGCTTTTTAATCTGAGTGTGTGTTTTTTGTGTGTGTTTTTTTTAATTTGAAATTACTTTCGTTTTGAACAGTGTGAGTCATTAAATATTAATAAAAAGTGCTTTTAAATCAGTTTGTGTTCTATTTATTTAATTTTAATTAACTACATATAATTTTTTCTCTGTGTGTTTTACTGGATTAAAAATGTCGGAACTATTCCCGTGCTCTGTGTGCAATGAAAATTGTGAAGACCACTGTATCTGTTGTGAGGTAAGTGCATTTATTGGTTTACGAGAAAAGTTGTTTTTATATAGTCCTATAAGATGTATGTTCTGTATTTAAAGAAACAATAACAATATGATCCGATTTACATTTATTGTTATATATAGCATTTAAAAGTAAACATATGAAAGTCAATCACACCGTTCTGAAAGCACACTCTACGCAAGATCTTATCTTTAATAGTCCACTTTGTGACGGATGAACTTTGTGATTATCGTAGTGTGTTGGATATTTGACGAATCTTCCAAGATCTACATAATCACTTTTCATGAACTTTTTCAGTTTTTCATTTATTGATTTTCGCATCTTATCAAACGTTCTTTTGTCCATACCACACTCTCGAAAGTTACCCCTCGTGACAATACCACACACGAACACTCGCTCAGTGCCATGCATTTTTAGTAGTTCCACGGCTCGTTTCAGCTCTTCAAAGATTGTATTTGGTGTTGTTTTCGTTGTTATACTGTTACCACCAAGAATGATGAAAACTGCTCTGAAATGGAGAAAAAAAATATTTACATAAACAAAACTGTAAATTATCTCAAGTACCCAATATAATTTTGGTATTTTATTTTTTAATATTACACTGAAATAACACTGAAATAATATAAGCGATATATTTTCATGCTCTATTGTCGATTATTTATTTTTATATAATAAGCATTAAATTAATAAAAAAAAATTACTTTGGTCTGTCATGACACAATCTGTTGAAAGTTGATTCGAACTTGTACGTAGTACCCATGCCAGGAACACCATAGAACTTGCATTTTGTGTTCAAATTAAGATCGCCTTTGCTGATGGTGAAGTGTTCCAGTCTAGAAACATAACTGTCTCCAAATACTGCAAATGACATTTTTAGAAATATTATTTTCTTCCAAATATCTGTATATTTTTTCTATCTATTTTTTTCCCCTTTTTTTTGGTACGGATAACTGTAGTTATAAATGATCAATTGCAAAAGTACATATTATATACATGCAGTGGACAGTAGCACTAATAACTCAAGTGTGTGGCATGTCTAACCTGTTAAAACAACAACGTTAGTGTATTGTCACCAGATAATTAGTTGTATATAACAACGCCGTAGTTTAATCAAATTAGTGTCAACAGGCCTTTCTTGTTGTAGAACCCCCAAGCTATATAATTGTTGTATATTTCATTAATTAAAAAATTATTAAAGATTTTTTTTATGGTATTAAGGTAATTCAGAGGAAATTAGTTTCGATGATATAACTACAAACTGCAAAAAAAGTGGTCAAAATATGCATAAATAACCCTTACTGCGTAAGTAATGCAGTAGAAATATAGTCGTAAATACTAAAAAATCAGTCATTAACTGCACATAACATGTAAAATATTACTTGAATCTGTAATCATTTTACGTTTCCTAAAATCGCAGTACATATTTCTCAAGTTTGATTTTATTGAAATATTTTGACTCATCTGGAGGCATGCAGCTTTAAAACAATTTGTTCAATAGCCAAATTATGAGTGAGAAGATTATAAGATGAAAGAAATTTGGATAAAGCTAAAATAATCTTAGCAGTATAACAATGAACAATAAATAACGCGAAATGTAATGTAAATTTGTCATGTTTTACAGAACAGAACATACATTTTATATATCATGCTGGTCGCAAACCCATTATGTTGGTTTTGTCATGGCGCGGCTCATATATATATAGTATACGTCCATTTATTATTTCCCTGAATAAAGAAAGAATCATTTAATTATAGTAATTGTTTTTAATAACATTATGATTGATTTGATGTTGCACGAGTTTTATGTATATTTAGTCCTTAATTACCACCTTCATCGGAATTTGTTAAATTGAAACAATGAACCCCTATTTACAACTTTACAGACCTGTGATACATGGGCGCACTTTAGATGTCAGGGCATTTCAAAATCTGAACGTAAGCGATGGAAAACAGAAGAGTTATCATATCACTGCGTATCATGCCGCACGTACCCGGATGGTTCATTCAATTATGATAAAGGTCTCCAGAGGCTTTTGAGTGATGCCAGTACTAGTTTTGAAAGTTTATCTAATGGTGCTTGTAGGGAATTGTTGTTCATTCGTAGTGTAAAATTAAAAAGTGATGTGCTTACAAGCTTTGAACACAACGCTCAAGACCAAGTATCAAACGCAATAATTTCAGCTTACTATAGTACAACAAAGACAGCACTTCGCAGTACTGGAAACGGCGATTGTCTGTTCCATTCATTTTCAATTTGTCTCGAAGGCGATGAATCTAGAAGTGTTGAATTAAGGTACAGATGTTGCTTAGAAATGGTTACAAACAATAGCAAATATCTTCGCCACCGACAATATACCAGATTGTCTTTAATAAGTCCAGATTTTATGGAAGACTGCCTTAACTGTCCTCGCAAAGGTAATTGGGCTTCAGTGTGGCATATTATGGCGCTTTCTAATTTGTTGAATGTGAAAGTTCAATCCGTCTACCCAACATTAAATGGATGTAGCCATTTCAATTTTGTGAATCTTAACACAACTTTCCGACCCCCCTTTGTGGACCCTGAGAAGCCCACAATTACTATCATGTGGACACACACGAAGCCACCTACAAAGAATAGCTTTAATAAAGCAAATGGTACAGTATGGACGCCAAATCATTTCGTCCCTCTTGTACACACGAAATGTCCTAAAATAATGGTTGAGCTGAGTGAGTCTGATGACTCTGACGACGAAGAATTATTATGCCCACCAACTAGTTGTCGCAAAGATGCTATAGAAATTGAGCAGGACAGTAATGAATATTTGGATGAAAGCAGGTCGCCATTTAGGCCTGACCTATCAACAATCACAGAGGAACTAGAACATAATCCAACAACTGAATATTCGGACAACAACAATACTTCATCTTTACTGAAAGACGAATCGACAATATCAGAGGAAAACTTGGAACGGTACCCGACGAGAGAGGATCCTGACGGCAAAAATACGTCAAACCACGCGCAGATGGAAAATTACGACTTAGATGAAGAAATTGACCGCGAATTTCAGCCAGGGCCATTGAAAAAATTTATGGACCTTGAGACAACTCTTAATATTTTTAAGGGTCCGCATGTATTATTGGATGAAGTACCAACGGGTAGAAAGGATGGAATGTTCTATGTATTGAACAATAGTATAAATATACAGAAACGTCAATCGGGTAAACGCTCCGAATTTTGGGATGATTGCGGTGCATGGGTTGGCGGAGCTTCACCATGTTCAATTTATTTAGAGTCTTCAGGTAAGTTGATCACTATTGTTAAAAGAAGCGGTCTGTACTGTATACCAAAACAGATTAACGGGAAACGTGAGTTTGTGGCTCTGGATCCCCAACCATGCGTAGATGATGTCATAAATGTACACAGACTGTACCAACATCTTAAATTGTCTCCATCAGGCCCAGACCAATTCAAGAAAAGAATAACATGGATAGAGAAGTCAAATGCATGCCTGCCGACGGTTCCCGATAACGTAGCAATCGTGGAGTATGTGGGTAAATTCCCAGGAAGAACATATTACGGTTCTGTGAAGCATACCGATGCAAACACGAAATTCATCAGAACAAAACCAAGAGTGAGGAAACATTTAAAGGATCAACTGAAACATAGGTCAGTGAAAGAAGTTGAACGAGAGATGAATTCAAATACCGACGATGACTTCGAGAAGCAGCGCAATGAGTTTCAACTTCGGACGATTAAACATGAATTACAAAAGAAAACCAAGCCGACATCGACGAATATTGCGGATCAAATTATAAAAGTCGAAGAACTTTCTAAGAATAAAGATTTTGTCAGGAGCGTGAAGCATGATGACGGCCTCATGTTTCCGTTAGTAGTTCTACACACAGACCAGCAAATAACAGACATGAAACGATTCTGCTGTCGAGAAAATGGAGTTGTATTGGGAATTGATAAGACGTATAACCTTGGCGAATTCCATGTAACGCCGACTGTTTTTAAGGACACATCAGTCCTGAGACGAAAAACTAACGAACATCCAATATGCTTTGGCCCTACGTTCATTCACCAAAGCTCTACTAAACGAGCATATGAATCGTTCTTATTAGATATTACCCATGGTTTCACTGAAGAGGAACTCACCAATTTAGTTATAGGCAGTGATGAGGAGCTTGCCTTAAAAGGTGCAATCAGGAGGGTTCTATCCAACAGCACACACGTTCTATGTACACGGCATCTGAAGGAAAACACAAATCGACACATGGAAAACATTGTAGGATATCCGATGAAAGAAAGACAGGAAATTTTAGCTGCAATTTACGGTTCCAACGGGCTTCTGCAACCTACAGACATAGATACATACACAATGAGAGTCAATAAATTGAAAGAGCTCATAGAAAAGTTTGACGGAAATGTTGGTGCAAAAAAATTCATGGCATTCTTCGAAAAGAAACTGTTACCAATGTTACAGGAGCATGTAATCACTCCAGCTGAAAAAGGGAAAATACCAAGCCACTGGACTAGTAATAACTCAGAGAGCGCCAATCACATACTGAAATCTGCAGTCCAGTGGAAAATGCAAGATATACTCACGTTCATAGACACTCTGCATGGTATAATCAAAGGTGAACAAACTGAAAGATGCAGAGCAATAAGAGACATGGGCAACTTTAAGCTATCTGAGAAATTTCAACATCACGCCGTCGATTTTGATTACTGGACAAACATGTCTGAAGAAAATAGGCAAAAAAGAACGAGGAAATTCTTAACAGATGTGGGAAAGCTGAATGCCAACACTGTTGTATCAACTGATGGTACCAGAACTGTGCAAAAAACCCCATCTGCAGGACGGAAACCCAACCAAAGGAAGAGAAAAAGGGCCGAAAGATCAAGGACGCCAAATGCTAAGAGGAAGCTTTAGTCGGGAAGGGAGTTCCATAGGATCTCACCGGGTGTTCTACACACCGGCTTTAGCCACCCACATGACCCTAGCAAACTAATACAACTTAAGAAGGAAAATTCTGAATACTGAGGTGTAAAAAGGCTGATAAAACAATTATTATATATCTTCACGAAATGAATAAGGGCAAGTACTAAACTAAATTAATTGAACTACGTTTTCTGTTAGTTTGAGGTCAGGGCCAGTACAAGCTTAGGGTCAGCTTAACATCTGGCCGTGAGTGCAGTATTGTCCCCGGCACCCTGGTGGCCCCCTGGATGTCAGGGAGGGGGGATTTAGGTATCCTAGGTTGCCAGGGAGGTGCTCTGATTGAGTTCAGGATCTTACATACGGAGAACTAATTCTTACTATGAGGTTGGTTCTTGCCTAAAGTGTTACATTTAGTACTTCTAAACAATTATTATATCAACATTCATTCAACATGTTATGTAAACATTTTGTATATATATGCCATATTATTTCAATATCATATTACATCATGTACTGTATTTTTTGTTATTTACTTTTTTGTGTGTTTGCGTGTGCTTGTATGTGTGCGGTTTCTACTGTATTTGTGTTAATTTTGTTGTTGTTTTTTTTTACCATTTTGTAAACAATAAATTTTTCATTTTTAATTTCACTACCTTTTCTAAAACCTCTTGTAGTAATTCAAAAAAGAGAAAAAATAATAGTATTAGAATCGTAAAGTCTAGAGATTTTTTTAATGGAATAGGAAAAAATTAAATAAGAATCCAAATATTATTTTTATTTTTTTCGAAAATATCTTTATAACGGTATAAGTAAACATATCTTTTATATATAAAAGTTAAAGTTAAGATAATTTTTTTAATAGATTAAATTTTTGTGGGCCATGTGAAGAGTTCCTCCTCGTGGTGTGGCCTGGATGCAGATGATTTTAACCATCTGTAACAGAACGCTCTTCAAAGAAGACATTAGTACTTCTAAAAAATTATTATATCAACATTCATTCAACATGTTATGTAAACATTTTGTATATATATGCCATATTATTTCAATATCATATTACATCATGTACTGTATTTTTTGTTATTTACTTTTTTTGTGTGTTTGCGTGTGCTTGTATGTGTGCGGTTTCTATTGTATTTGTGTTAATTTTTGTTGTTTTTTTTTACCATTTTGTAAACAATAACTTTTTCATTTATTATTTCACTACCTTTTCTAAAACCTCTTGTAGTAATTCAAAAAAGAGAAAAAATAATAGTATTCGAATCGTAAAGTCTAGAGATTTTTTTAATGGAATAGGAGAAAATTAAATAAGAATCCAAATATTATTTTTATTATTTTCGAAAATATCTTTATAACAGTATAAGTAAACATATTTTTTATATATAAAAGATAAAGTTAAGATAAATTTTTTAATAGATTAAATTTTTGTGGGCCATGTGAAGAGTTCCTCCTCGTGGTGTGGCCTGGATGCAGATGCTTTTAACCATCTGTAACTGAACGCTCTTCAATGAAGACATTATTATTGTAAGAAATATAAATTTCTTGATAAATATA